CTTCCTTCCCTCTTTCTCTGTCTCTCTTTCTTTCTTGGACTGAGGATTGAACTCAGGGCTTTGAATTTTCAAAGCAAGCTCTCTATCAATTGAGCCATACCTCCAGTTCATTTTGTTCTCATTAATTTTTTGGAGATGGGAGGCTCATGAGCTATATGCCTGGGCTAGCCTCAAATTGCAGTCCTCCTGATGTCAGCCTCTCAAATAGCTAGGATTACAGGCAGGAGCCATGAGGTGACTGGCTTGAGTATTTCTTTCTTAAAAGTAGAATACTGTTCATATTAGGGATACAGTATCTTATCCTTAAAGGGTCTTAATCAAAGGGCACATTACTTCTTTTTTTATTTAAAACAGGGTCTTGCTAGCCTTCAACTTGTGATTCTCCTGCTTCAGTCTCCTGAATATTGTTTTTTGTTTGTTTATTCTTGTTAGCCTCCTGAATATTGGGATTGCAGGAGTGCACCACCATGCCTGGGTTGTTTCCTATTCTTTCTCTTTCTTTTCATTTTTCTCTATTTCTTACATTGTTTCTGTTTTTAGTGAACTTATTTTTTTTCTATGTTTATTTTGCTGTTTGTCTTTTCTGTTAGAGACCTTCCTTGATTGTCTGGTTATTATTATTCATGCAGGCACTAGAGGATTGGGTGTGGCTCAACAGCAGAGCACTTGCCTAGTATATGTAAATCAATGGGTCATTCCCTAACACCATTTAGAAAAAAACGAGGCATGATAAAGATAATTGTGTGTAATGAGGCTCGTTGAGTACTTGATTTCTCTATAGGGAATTAGTGGGACCCAGATATTTCTTGGAGATCTCCAAATGCCAGTATCTCTAAGTCTTTTATCTATAAGGACACTGGGTTAGTCAGTGTCCCTTTAGAAAGATCTTGGGGATATAAGCCTGAGCTTATGTATATGACCTGAGCTGGTCAGGCCATGGATAAATGAATTATGGAGCTTCCTAAAGAAATGTTGGGGTGAAAAACTCCAGTGTTGCAGAAGTTCTTTTGCTTCTAGCATAACTAGATACACTATCTTGAGGGAAGAGTCAAAGTGCCCCTCCCTTGGAGCTCACTGCCTAGCCACATACTCTTTACATTGCTCCTTGGGCCCCTGGAGATGTTCAGGAAAGCCTCTTGTATGCACAGTTGGGTTTTGGAGCATTTGCAAATGCTCCAAAACCCAACTGTGTTTCTTTATTGATGTTTATTGGTTCCTTTATTTTTTCTCTCCATTTAGTCTCATTTTTCTCCCAGGAATCTCTGGATTGTGAGGGAAGACAAACAAAACCAAAACCAAAAATGAAAACCTGCATATCCACTCTAGTTTAAAATCTGTGTCTGGTTAAAATAAAATGGACTCTGCAAGAAATGATTAACTCTTTTAGAAAAAAAGTTATAGGTCTGTATGATAGTTTCCCCATACCCTCCACTGCTTCTGTCCCTAAGATGACCTTCAGGTGCATAACAAGAAAGGGGCTTCAGGGTCACACAGTATCCTTGGACAATAAAAAATTCCCCTCAAGCATTAAAGGACACTATCAACAGAAAGAAAAGGCAAGTCACAGGATAAAATATTTGCAAATCATATATCTGACAAGGTTTAATATCCAGAATATACACAGAATTCCTACAACTCAAAAACAAAAAGCAAACAACCTGATTTAAAGATGGGCAAAGGACTGGATAGACATTTCTCCAAAAACAGATATATAAATGGCTAATAAACACAGGAAAAGATGGTTAACATAACTAATCATCAGAGAAAACCAAACCCACAAGATAATCCTTCATATTCATTAGTATGGCTATTGGCAAAAACCACAAAATATCAGGTGTTATATAACAGCTATGAGAGGGAATGTAAAAGGTTGCAGCCATGGTGGAAAACAGTAAGTGAAACATAAAATTATCATATGATCTAACAATTCCACTTTGAGTATGTACCCAAAATAATTGAAAACAAAGACTTGAATAGATATTTGTACACCAACGATCACATTATTCACAATATGCAAAAAGTAGAAAAAACACACATGTCCTTTAATGGATGGATGAATAAACCAAATGTGATGTGTAAGACAATGGAATATTATAAAGCCTTAAAAAGGAATAAATTCTGGTACATGAATGTGGAAGACATTAAGCCTAGTAAAATAAGCAAAACACAAAAGAACATTTTAAATATTGTATGATTCCACTTATATGAGATACCTATGGCAGTCAAATTCATAGATACAGAATGTAGAATAGTGATTGCCAGGGGCTGGAAGAAGGGAGAAATTGGGACCTATTGTTTACTGGGTATAAAATTTTGGTTGGGGTTGAGGAAAATATTCTGAGATGACTATGGTGATAATTGTACAACAATGTGAATGTACTTGGTCTCATGGAACTGTACACTTAAAGTAGTTAAGATGGTAAATTTTATGTATCCCCAGAAACAGAGGATCAATTTAAGAACTTGAGCATTCATGCTTTTAGTTCCTAGGTGGAGGGGTCCTCAAACCAATCCCCAGTGGATCCTGAGTGATAATTTATAATCCAATCAAGCTTTAAAACAGAGTTGTCAGTTTTAAGTGGATATATTCCTAATCATACAACTTCAAAAACCTCATGTATGTATGTATGTATGTATGAAAAGGTCATACAGAATGAAGCGATGTGAATACAGACCCTAGAATTGCGCATCACAGTGGTCCTGCTTGTCACATTCTCCTCTTCACATTTCCATCCCTCTGTCCAATGTTCCCTCTTCAAAAGTCTCTTAAACTAACCATCCCCTTAAAATAGCCATTTCCCCAATTGTTCTGTAAGTCTGCTTTGTTTTTCTTTGTAGCACTTAGTCACATGACACTTCATATTTACTTTTATTACTAATTTGATGTTAGCCTACCCTACCAGAGAATAAGCACCATGGGGGCATCTTCATTAATCATTATTCATTTATTCTTATTCATTATTCATTATTATATGCCCAAAGTCTAGATAATAGTCTGGAACTTCTTAGCAGATGCTCAATAATATTTGTTGAATGAATGAACTTATTTATTTATATATTTATTACATTACTTAATACATTAAGTATGTATTTAGGGTATTTTGAACAGCTGTACCATTTAGACAGAAAGACTGTGTCACTGTTGAGTGGAAGGAAAAGAACACCAAGATTCCAGAGTTGTTTTCATTTGTCATGTTTTCCAGTCATCCAAGTCAGAAATCTACAAGGCAGTTGTAAATTTGATTCTGAGTGGAGATAAAATCTGAGGTAGATACAGTTGTTAAGAATGTACTCCTTAGAAAACAAGCAACAACAAATGCTGAGGAGGATTAGGGGGGAAATAGGGCCCCTATACTCTGTTGGCAGGAGTGTAAGTTAGTGCAGACACTAATTGAAATCAATATGGAGGGCTCTTAAAAAAACTAAAATTAGAACTACTGTATGGTCCTGCTATACCAAACTTGAGGATATAGGCAAAGGAAAGTAAGTCAGCATACAGTAGAGATACCTACACACCCATCTTTATTGCAGCATTATTCACAATAGCCCATCAACAGATGGATGGCTAAAGAAAATGTGACATTATCTACACAACAGAGTATTATTTAGCCATGAAGAAGAATGAAATTATGTCATTTGTAAAAAATGGACCTAGAGATCATCAAGTTAAATGAAATAAGTCTGAGTCAGAAAGACAAAACCACGTTTTCTCTCATATTCAGAATCTAGATTTAAAGGGAAACAAAGGGCATGAATATAAAAGGGGAACTATTTGGGGGGTACCCAGCAGGCAGTGAGAGGGGGAGAATACATACCTTGTATGCATGTATTTATGTATGAAAAGGTTATAATGAAATTTATATAAGAAGGGGGAATAAAGAAGAGTAAGAGAGGGCAAATATGATCAAAATACATTATATGCATGTATAGAGATATCACTATGAGACCTCTTATTTTGTACAATTAACATATGCTAATAAAAATCATTAAGCTAACTAATGAAAATAAGAGCGAACTCCTTAGAAGTGGATTAGATACTCCAGAGGATTCAGAAAGAGGAAGAGTGAATGAGAGCCAGAACACGAATAGGACTCAGGGAGGGTGGAGATTCCCTGAGGAGGGAGGAAAAGAGGGAAAAGGAAGGGTTATTTAGAGTTCATATTATTTAATCTGAATTTATGTAATTATCTTGATTATCATTTATTCACTCACATCTATAGGTCAGCATAAGGGATTGGAGGAGACAAAGATGTATAAAGAGTTCCATTAAAAAAATTCTCACTTCCTTAAGAATAAAAAATTCAAGGTCCTTCAAGCAAAGAGTAGACATCCTAAATCCAAGGGGCAAAAAAGGCTTTGCTTAAAGCACTAAAGAAGTTAGGTTTATTTCTAAAAATGTGGAAGCGTCCCTCTGCTTCCTTCAAGTCTCCCAAGGAGCCCAACTCCTTAAATTTCCGCGACCCAACTCAGCGCCAATTCCGAGCTAATTTTGCTCAAAGGTTGGCCTTTGGTAGCTGACAGCATAGACTATCCCACTGAGGCCCACCCCTACCCTCCTTTGCTAGACTGTGTGGCTAAACCCCGGAATGGCTACCTACTCAGCCAATGGACGAAGCAGGAGCAAATACCTATGTAAACAAACCCGGAGTTGCTGAGCCTTGAACTCCTCCCCCACGTGGGGGGACGCGAACTTGGCCCAATGCCTATCTAGGACTAAGACTAGCGTCCTTTCACCCAATCAGAGTCGGGATGTTCTGCAATGAGGCGTTCCCTTTCCGGAAAGAACGACGGGAGCGAAAGGACAGATTTTAAGACCAACCACAAACCGGGACTTCTGAGGGAGTGGGCGGCACTGCCTCATATTTAGACCAATAAAAACCAATTATGCCCTTCTAGGTGACTGAGCGGCATCCTCTACGGTCCAATAGATGAATGGGGCGGTGCCCAGTAACCAATGGCTTGGTTTCGGGGGCGGGGTGAGAAGCTAGTGTGCAGCAAAAGGTAACCGGGCGAGTGTTAGTGGCGCTTCTCCCGTGCTGTGGCTCACGTTTTGGTACTAGAGGCCGAGACTGTACTGGCGACGGCGACCTCTGCGGCGACGCCTTAGACTCTCGGAGGAGTGGCAGAGTTCAGTCCGGAGGAGGGGCTTCAGGTCAGCCCAGGTGGGCTCGGGCGTCCGGGCTGCGGCGAAAGGACCCGCGGATCTAGGGGCGCCCTGCGCCCCACTTTCCCCCTGCTGTCAAGGCTGTGAGGGGCGGCGCGCGCCTGCCAGAGATCCTGTGAGGAGCGAAAGCCCGCGGGGTCCCACGTCGCGGCCGTCTGCGAGAAGGGGCGTCTGCTTGGATCACCCCCTACCTCCTTGGGAGCAGCTTGGGGTCTCAGTCCCTTTTGCTTAGCGCTGGTGCTCTATTTCCCTCCACCTTCCCACCCAAGTCCCCGAGTCCTCTTAGTCCCCTTCGGACATTCAGGCGGGCTCCTTGGGCTTTGAGTCCCCTTACTATCCCGCGGCAACACAGCTAGGCGAATTGGCCAGTGCCGCATCCGCACCCCCTCCGCCTTCTCTCTGAGGCGGGAGCGGGGAGGAGTTGCGCGTTTTGCCCCTCCCCCACTGACGGGCCCCCGCGTTTTCTGCGCTTCTTACTCTCCCTTCGCCTCCCCTTTACTCCGGCTCTTATGCTTTATACAGGATTTGACTGGAGACCCTGGCCACTTTTCTTCCTTGCCTCCCGTTAGTGACTCCACCCCTTATCACCCCTAAATTTCAATTTATCTTTCTTGCAAATAACCTTTTACACTTGCTTCTTCCAGGCAGCTGGAAGGTGGACGCCAGAGGGGCAGAACTTCAGAGAGGAAGAATACACCGAACAGGGACTTTCATAAGGTTGGAAACTTTAATTGGTTTTGTTAAAAGTAAACTATTTTTGTTTCCTTTAAGATGACATTTGAACATGATACCCTTCTAGAATCTTTGTCTCAATAAAGTTCTTTATGATAATTGCTGAAAATGCAGGTGAAAAGGTCTTACTAGTAGCAACAGATTTTAAATTTCTTAGTTTTTAAGTAGATGGAATTGGATTATACTTTAAAGAGCTTAACTAAAGCATAAGCGTTTTCAGTGTGAGGGCCTGGCCACCCTAGTTTGTCATAAAATATAGGACATATTTTAGTTGTACAGCATGCTGTGATTTGATCACACCCAACCTATGAATAAATAATAGCAGCATTGAATATGTTGAAAAACAACATTCCATATTCTCTTTTTACAGAGTGTTTCTATTCACCTTCATAAGAGAGCTGTTGTGTTTCCAGTAGTGTTGGGTTCAGCCATATGTTTCTAGATAATCCCACTATCTTGTTCTTAAACAAAATTATGCCAGGAATTTTATGGGGAAAATCTAGCTTGCCACTCTTTGAGATTTTAGAGGCTTTGAAATATTAATGTAGATATTGGAAGTTAGAGGAAATCAAAGTATTGGGGTAAGACTAATAGGCGCCTTAGACTGTGTATGAGAGAAAAAAATACACACATTCGCATAACCCCTGTGTATACAAAACCTTGTAAATTCTCATAGTACTTAGTTTCCTGTCTGTATATAAACTGGAATTGTTTTTCCTGGTTCTCAATGGAAAAAAATGTAACCTGTGAATTTAACATCATGTTCACCATCTTTTGGCCGGGAGTTCGTAAGCTTTTGTGAAAAAAATCTTAACTGGTTTTCTTTCCGTACTTGCAGCATATCTATAAATCTAAATATCAGTATGCTTCCCTGTGTTTTTGTATGATAAGATTTTATCTAGTATATATAGAGATAAGTCTATTAGTGAATTTAAACGAGTCTGTACTTCGAGGTGACAAGTTGTCTAATGGGCCATATGTTTGAGCCTTGGTTAATAAAGCACACTAAAGAGGGCAAGCTCTTAAAACTGTTTTAAAAAATGCCCAGTTATCTAGAATAATAAAAAGAATTTGTGTCAGAGTTATAGCAGTCATCAAAATCATGGACAAATTGCAAATCTTTGAGTTGGGCACTTGCAAATTCGTATAAGGCTGCAATTGAAAACTAAAGTTATTTTTGTATAGTGTTTTAGGATATATTTGTGTTTTGTAATTATTCAAAAATTTATAGGACTGTCACTATGATATATTTCTGGAGACTTTGACCTTGAGGAGCTCACAGTTTAGTGGAGGAGAGACCTATAAACCAAGAATTATATGCAGAGAGAGGTTCTGCAGTTCAGGATATGTACAGGTTGTAGAGAAGCACTGTGGCCCTATGATCTGGCCTTATCTCCCAGTGCTCTAGACTTCCTGAAGTACCATTTCCTGTCTCACATAGATTGTAATCCAAAATCCTAAAAACAACTCATTCTGGTAGATTCTATTTTCCTTATGTTACAAAGGAGGAAATGAAAATTCAGCAGTGTCAAGTGATTTGCCTGAGGCCGCCCCACTAACAGGTGCCCCATTAACAGGTGCCAGAGTTAGGATTCAAACCCTATCCAGTTGGCCCCAAAGCTAGAATTTCTAACACTACACTTCACTGCCCCCTACAGTCTCTGCCCTTGGCCATCTCTGTATGAAAGCTAAATCAAGATGACCCAGCATCACCTCCTTCCACCTTAGCCTGAGATATATGTAAGGAGCAGATTTTTCACCACTGAATGCATTGTATATGACCTGAAAAACAACACAGGTACTAGTGGAGTTACACATAAATTTTATCAAGTAAACAAATTTGCAAATATGAGATCTACAGATACTGAGAATCAACCATACTTTTAAGTGATCCCTACATTCCATTTCATGGTCTCCCTTCCCCGCCAAATCCTTTAATTTTGGTAATTTGTTCACTTATTCATTCATTCAACAAATATTTATTAAACACTTAACGTAAGCCATATTCTTTTGGAGTATGGCAAATAAGCTAGAGATTAAAGTCCTGACCTATGGATGTTACATTCAAGTAAGAAAGATAGACAGCTAATTCTGGGCTCAAGGAAGAGGTTCAGGTTGAAATTATAGATTAATTTGGCCAATGTGAAATTGGGTGTGCCCCCTCCCACTTCACATCCCCAAGAATACTTCTAGAACATTAATGTTGTACTCTTGTACATAAGCTCTTCCTTTTGGGCCTCTCTCCATTGACCTGTGTTAGCCTCTACTTGCTGATTTTGAGGACATTTGCTCAAGTAACTGGTGTGAAGTTGTAGAAGAATCGTAAGGATCTGATCTTTGACTTTTGGCTGTGCCATCTACCATGTAAGTAACTTTGGTCAAACCTTTGAACTTTGGAGGCTGCTTCCTAATTTCAGAAGTTGTAGTAAATGTTAGACATTTGTGAGTTTCAAAGAAGAGGCTTATGTTAACCTTTGATGATGAGAGGTGAATGTAAATGTGAATGGAAATCATTTCAGCATAAATAATTGTCTTTTGCTGTAGTACTTTTGAAACCTTATAGAACAACAGCTGGACAGTATGTAGGATAGGATTTGAGCTCTAAACACTTCTTGTACTTTGTCCATTCAATATTTTTATTTCCCTAGGGAGAATATTTGATTGGTTTGTCACCTTCTAAAATGGAAGACCCCTCTTTTGGGCAGAATTTTGAGCCAAGCCAAGTGCTTGGTTGTTTATCTCCCTCAAATTCAACCTTTTTCTAGTCCTTAGTGAAGCACTGAGTCTGTGGCCAGAGAAACAGGGTTGATTTTATGAATCATCTGTTTTATAAACTGCAGCATATACAAAAGAACTTCTTGAAGACAGTTTCTTTTCCCAAGAAAATAACTGAGGGGTAGCTGTCCTAGAGTGATCATAAATGGTGTTTGATAAAGCATCTAACAAAATTATTATGTCAAATATTCAATACATCTTCTTCTTGGTGTTGTCTTTAGTAGTAGTATACTGTGATTATTTGTTCATATCACTGTCTTCCTTATTAGATCATGAGCTCCATGAAGACAGGGTTTATAGCTTCATCTTTCTATCCTTGGCATATAGTGCAGAGCCTGATCAGTAGTAATATGTGCACAGATATCTGATTTGAGGAATTCTCAGCTCTTCCTAAAAGGATGGGAGGATAGGAAAATTTCCTAGAGAAGTATTAAAACTGATTTTTTTTCACCCCTGGTGCTAGAGATTGAATCCAAAGTCTCACACATGCTATGCATGGACAGTACCACTGAGCTACACCTTACATGCCCTTAAGATGATTCTTAAAGGATGAATAAGATTGTTTTCTAGGTAAATAAAACCTTGTGATATAACATTCCAAATAGAGAGTAGTCAGTGCAAATGCACAGATATAAAAAGATGATGAAGTTTACTGAACACTCCTTGTCAGTTGAAAACAACAAAAATAAATAAGCAAATAATTAGTAAAAAAACACAAGAAGAAAACTATAAATGGATTCGGCCAGAGGGCATGTTATAAGTAAGTTAACTATGTCCTCTGGAGCAGCTCAGTAATGGGTACAAGTTTTAGGGAGAAAAGTATAACATTCTCAAGTTGTTGGCAGGGTGTTTGGAACAATCCAGTAATGTAGGTATTAAATTCTGGGACCTATTACATTATAGGGAAATCATTTACTTCTTTACTGTGTATCAATCTCCTGTGTGTCACACACTGTTCAAGGTGCTGAAAATATAATTAAATGTATTCTTATGGAGCTCACAAGCAAGCAGGGGAGACAGATGGATGAACAACTGATTTATCATGTGACAAGTGAGGCAATAGAGGTATGAATAAAATGCTATCTAAATCAGGAGAAAGGAACAGATAGTAATATGTGGAGTGCTGAGAAAAGATTTCTCAAATGAGGTGATATTTGATTACTCTAAAGCACTGTATACATCTAAGACGGGAATATATCCAGCTTAATTTGAGTTAACATTTTATTTTTGTTTTAAATTTTATATTACAGCAATAATACATATTTATTGTAAAATTAGGAAGCACTATTACGAAAAAAGAGAGGGACTACAAAGCCCTTTGTAGATAGATACACCATCCTGAGACAACCGATAGCATTTTGATGGATATATTTTGTACTTTCAGTGCAGTTACACATGCATATATAGGAATTTTTTATAGAAATGGGTTCATTCTGAGTGCTCTGTTTAGTCATTTTTGTTTTATTTAATTTATTTATTATTTTGGCGGCACTGGAGTTTGAACTCAGGGCCTAGGCTTGCTAAACAGGCACTCTTACCTTGAGTTTGTAATGGCCTGGGGCTGGCTTTGAACTTTGATCCTCCTTATCTCTGCCTCTTAGTAGCCCTGCTATGAGGTAAATCGCCTAAGGGTATAATTGCTTTGTCTGATGAAGTCTTCTGCTACATTTTACAGTACAGAATGAGAACTAGAAAAGGGGCTAGCTTTTCACCTTTGAGAACATGTGACCTTGTAATCTAATCTGAACCATTTCTGAGGCTTCATCAAAGGCATATTTAGAAATGAGCTGGGTTTGTTATGCTTGGCATTATTGTTTGGAACAGCATGGTAGGGTGACTTCATTGCCATCAGAGGGAACCTGTTAAGGAAACTGTTACATATCCATACCATTCAGTATTGTGTAGTTAAAAGAAGAGTGAAAAAGACATGTACTAATACTATATACTAATATAGTATACTAATATACTATATACTGATATCTAATATATATTGAGTTTTTTGTATACTTTTTGTGTTGAGAGAGAAGAGTAAAAATATACATGAATATTTGCAAAAAAGAAATTCTGAAAGATATATAAGAAACCAGTTAATATGTTTATCTGTAGAGGAAGAATAGGAATGGCCTGGGGGTTGACCTCAGGACCTTGTGCTTACTAAGAACTGCTCTACCATTTGAGCCACACCCCCAGGCTTTCCGTATACTGTATATATAGGTATATATGGTAGTTTACTGTCCTCAACACCACTGTCCTTCCTGACTGATGGAGAAATAGACAAATTTTTTTGTTTGTTTGCTTGGTTTTTTTTTTTGAGACAGGGCTTCTGTGTAACCCAGGCTGGCCTTAAGTTCACGATCTTTCTGCCTCTGCCTCCCAAGTGCAGTCTTCTTTAATTTTGCTGCCCAAAACATTCTGATTTTTGTTTTTTAGACCCTTTTTATGCATATAAACATTTTAAAAAGTAGAGTCATAATGTATAGTCTTTCTCACTAAATTTTGGGCATATTTCCATGACAGTACATGTATCCTGGCATCGACATTTCAATAGCTGTACCCATATATTAAGTTAAACAGCCCACTCTCTTCCCTCATGGGGAATTTCCTTGCACATTTTAGTAGACCTAAACAGTATTTTTGGGTTGAATTCCTAGCAGTAAAATGTCTAGAGGAAAAGAGTAGAACACAATGTCAGAACTTTTAATACAAAGGTTCAAAATTTCCTCTAACAAAATTGCTTCAGTTTAGAAAAACAGGTTTTTTTTCTTTTATCTTTTCTAACTGGTTGGTTTATACAAATGCTATTGATTTTATTTATTAGTTAGTTATTTTTATGGGGCTGGTGACCTAACCAGGGCCTCATGTATTTTTGTGTTTATTTTACAACCAGTCTTATTATAACAAACTCTTAGTTTTCAGTTCATTCTTAGTCTTGCTAAAAAAATCAAAGTAATGTTTGCAAATAAGGATAATTTCATCTCTTCCTTTCCAATAGTTGTACCTCTTATTTTTCATTCTTGACTAATTGCATTGGATGGTAGCACTTGAACTAGTCAAATAGTGGTAATAATAGTTTACAGTCATCATCTTTTTCCTGTCTTTAATGGAAATACACTAAAAATGTGGAGCAGAGCTGCTTATATGAGTGTATTCATTACATTGAAGAAGTTGATTTTATTTATTCATGTTATATGTCAGTTTTAGCAAAAATAGAGTTTGGATTAATTTTTTCCTGGTACTGGGTATTAACCCAGACCCTCATGCATGCTAGGCAAGTGCTGTACCACTGAGCTACACCCCAGCCCACTGTATTTTATTAAACAAATTTCTGACAACTATTGAGATGATTGTGTAGTTTATTTTGTTTTGTTTTGTTACTTCACCTGTTGTATGACAGTACACATTTTTATATTCCTTATTAAACCATTCTTGAATTTCTGGGCTGAACCCAGCTTACCAAAGTGGTTTTGTTTCTAAATAATTTCCTTGATTTTATTTGCTCACATCTTATTTAAAATTATGGTTGTAGCATGGAAATTGGCCCATGCTTTTGTTTTGTGCTGATTTTGTTTAATTTGTCGAGCTACGTATACAAATAATTAGAAGGCTCTTTTCATTTCTTTGTGTTTTGAAACAATTGTGTGGGATTTACCTGCTTTTTGAAACAAGGTTCTCTGTGAGCTATAGGCCTGTCTTGTCCACACTTTATAATTGCCTCAGGGAAGTAAAGTTGTTTTTGATTTTGAGGCTCTGTGGATAGAATCCAGGGCCTTTTGCATGTGCTAGGCAAGTGTGCTATCACTGAGCTACACCCCCAACCCAAAGTAAAGTTTTTCTTTCTTTCTTTTTTTTTTTTTTGGTGGTTCTGGAGTCTGAACTCAGGACCTCACGTTTGCTAGGCAGGCATTCTGCCACTTGAGCCACTCCACCAGCCCTTTTTTTTTGCGTTCAAGATAGGGTCTCTAGAACTCTTTTCCCCCCGCTGGCTTTGAATCTCAGTCTTCCTGATCTCTGCCTCCTGAGTAGCTAGGATTATAGGCATGACCAAAGTGAAGTTTTAATGTAGTTATTTTTGTATAAACAGAAGCAAAACAGAAGGTTAAGTTTTTAGTGAAGGTTACTTTTGTTTGCTAGTAGTGTTCTTCAGTGTTTTTGTTATTTGGTCTTTGGTTCTAGTGCTGAGGTTTTACACTCATCATCTGAGGTCCAGAAGACACCTTTTTTTGTTTTTTTTTTTTTGGTGGGATTGGGGTTTGAACTCAGGGCTTTGTGCTTTGAAAAAAAGGCCCCTCTATCACTTGAGCCACACCTCTAGTATTTGTTTTGCTTTGTTATTTTGGAAATGGGGTCTCAAGAACTATTTGCCTGGATCCTTCTGATCTCAGCCCCAGGTATCTAGGATAAAAGGTGTGAGCCACCAGTGCCTGACCTGAATTGATACTGGGACAGATGTAACTGTTTAGTTCTGTAATCTTGCAGATACACAAAATGGGCCTACTGTGGCTCCTCTTTATCCCCACAGAAGCAAGAAGTAATGCAGTGAAACTGTCTGGCGTAGAAGTTTTTGAAAATGGGTTATTCTGGTTTCATTC